ACATATCTTCCTGAATCGTCTGTGAGTTTGCAATGCAGGTTTATTTTGTACTGAATGAACCGTCTGCATCCCCTACCAGTTTTCATTTTGGTGAAGTGACATACTCGGTAGAGTGATCTCAAAATCAATGCGTTCGCATTTTAGTCACATTTCTGTGATCATCGTAGGAATTCAGAACTCTGAATCCTGACCATATTTGAAGACTGACAGAATAACTATTAAGGCCTTGTCCATATTACTGCGTGTTGAGTCCAGACGAGGTACTGACGACCGTCAATGAGTGAGTATGGGTGTGTAGCTAGCCGACATTTCGATAAGTCGTTGGCCCTTGCGATTATGTTGGGTTACACGGCTGCACACGACTGTGTTGGTACTGATGATCTCTAATGTTTTGATGTAACTGGTCGGATAATGAGGTTTCCATAGGGCAATTTGTGCACAAAACTGTATGAGAAAATATCCACTGATTTGGCGATGCCCGTCGTATCATCAGCCAACAGTGGTCATTTAACCACTGCATTTAACCGAAATTTTGTTGGCATCCTTTGCGGCATTTAGACCAGTTCTTCAAAGCGACCGGCGACAATGGCTCAGGCCGAACCCCTTTCATTAGTCTAGCATCGTTCTCCTAGTAGTTAAATGAAGCTGCAATTATTGTCAGCCAATTGTCAATGATATTGTCGCTGAACAGGGTTTCATGGACTTGAAAGCGTTGCTACCAGTCGTAGGCCTCCGCTTCCTCAGAGGAGGAAAATCAAACCTAGCAAACTCCGTAAACAATCCTTTGCCGCTTATCGTCAGTTTCATGAACTTCCTCACAGCTACTATTCTCCTATAGACATTATTTCCAATGGATGTCCAGAAATATGTGCACCCCAAGTAGTTGTGTGTATAACGACGCCTGTGTCATCAGGAAAGAAGAAGGAAGAATTTGTAAGTTCCCGTAATGCAATGAATTTGGGGAACGTGACCCGTCACAGTGTTGCAGGCTTAAACTACTTGCCAACCGCGTCACAAGTGGTCTTTCATTGGTTGCAGTCGACTCTTAGCTTGTCCTCTATGGCATTAGGCCGTGATTCTGGGCTACTCAGTTCAAGTCTAAATAATTTTATGTAACCAGATTGGGGGATTCTAACATTTTATCTTATCAGATGCAGACGGATTAGAATGGTATCAAACGGACCTATATTCTCGAGCGATTTTCACGCATTGCTGAACGGAAACCTCTGGGTTCGTATACAGTAGACAATGCAGTTTTACCGAAAGCTTACTTCATGATTGATTTAAGTGGTCTAAATTTCCATGGCCAACAGCAGCAGACATGTATCGATCGCAGTGCCTCCGCAGTTTTATTCAAAATGATATAGAGTATCACGTTCTCAGTGAACTGGCAAATAGTTTGAACAACGAAATTGGAAAAATTACCTTCCAAGACTTATAGGTTTGCAGTAGATAGGGTGAAACTGATGTTCACCGTAAGGTCAATGGCTGGTTAAAAGGGATCCGCCACATTTGTGTGCAGCAAAATTAAGGAAATGTGCTTTATTCTGGTAACTGTCGGTTTGAAGGCAATAGTTTACATCGTTATTGATGGTTTGTTGGAATTGGAGGTTGCAGCACCTTAGTGTTTTTTCTTGTGGTTACAGGAGTCAGAGGTATTCTCTCCAGCGTTTTAATGGAGGCAACCGATGCGTACGATGCCCGGCTTTTCTCCATGGTGGGATGGCTATGGCTCGGAGTGGCGAGCATCGTCCACCCCGCCCACCCCCACCTTAATGTGGCCTGCACCGCTGAAAGGAGTGCAGGAACGCGCGCTCGATTCATTACTGATTAGAGGAGGGGGTGGATATAGACACGTAGGATTAAGATACAGAAACTTTAGTGTGATTTGAACTTCTGGATCTATTTTTCGACTTAACTAAGGAGTATAGTGACTGGTCTAGGTACTATCGCAATCACGTTCACTTCCAATGGTGCAGTCGTTATGTACACCAAATGCTGGATGGTCTCAGCAAACCTGTCGCATTCCTTCATCATAACCACATATAACAGATGACGAGTTGAATTTTACGGGTTTTTTTGGCAAAAGCAAAGCATGTCGGCTACCGTGTTGTGCTGCCTTCTTTTTATGCTGAGATCCTTACAAATTTAGGTTGCAATGCTCTGACGCAGCTTGTACAACTTATCCCCAACCTAAGGATCTAATCTAATCGCAGTTCTGCACAAGGAGCATTCGCAGCAGCGCTGATCATAAGTGTCATTGCAACTTCCGTAGTTAATACTGTGTCGATGCTTATGTGAGACAGCCCGCGTTCATTAGAAAACAGCATAGTGCAAATAGACGGCGTGTTGACCAGCTCCCTCGCAAACCGAGTCAACCCACTCATCGTATGGGTTCATAGGATTGTGAATGGTAAATCGGTGTAGCCCAACTGCGGTGTGGAAGCATGGAGTATGCAACATCAGCCTCAGCATGGGACATAGTGTTCATTGAATGATCATGTTGGAACTGTCATTAAGCACTCTGTTTTCTTCGGCGTTTAATTTTGGCATTGAATTCCCCCCCCAAACCATCCCACGGAATTTTTAAATTGAGCGGTTTCATCTTCAGTGTACGTGCGGTATTTGAAAAGCGCATAATAAATTGATTGTGTAGCTACCAGAGCAAAGCACAAATGGTTCTGCCATGTTTGGCTACCATTAGGCTGCTCTGTAGGACCTGGTGCATACTGGTACCACTACAATTATCAGCCGACTGACTGCTCTCTTTATAGACTCGAAATGAGCAAACGGCAACTTCGACTTGTTAAACATGGTTCGAAATCTGACTGCGTTACCCTATTCGTTTTGAGCACAAACTGCTCGAATTTGTGTTGTGTACCAGTAAACATGATTCAGCACAGCACAGGCAGCACGTAATGAGAAGGCACAGAACTCGGGACAGAGTCAGTTATTGGTGAAATTAAGAATCGGAGTACGTTCGATCGCAGAACTATTAGGTTGGCTTTAAAGTTATTGCCCATGTTAATCTTAAACCTTTACTGCGCATACATTGCGAAGCCGTAACCTTTTAATTCGAAAGAAAACCATTTGCACTGATACACTTATGCCAAAGGGATTCAAGTATATTTATTCCGGATGAATAAAATTTCGCAGTTCTGGTGGTGATGAAATCGTAGTAAGCGCTTTCAACATCTTGGGTTTTAAAACTTTTCTCTAGTAGGAAGTTATCCAAAAGCTAGAAAAAGCGTTAATCGGTAAGCTAGAGGTCAGGGGAGCATGGTGGGTAAGGCGACGTTTTATAGCCCAGCTCATGAGGCTTTCGTAAGGTGGTTTGTGCGACGCGCTACGGAGCGTTATTATGGAGAAAAATTGGCCTCTTTCTGTTGCCAGTGGCGGGGCACTTGTGTTGAAATTTCCGGTACATTGCGACCATTTTGTTGACAATGCTTCGCTACGGTAAGGTTCCAACTCTTGAGGGGTTCGTCGTCGATTGTCATAAAGGGTCCGTTTTTAATCGCGTCACAATCCTGCCGAGAAACGGGTCGTTTTTAGTGCGCAGAAGAAGGGCAGACGACAACTCAAAACAACCATTTCTTTGCTTTTCATTCCATTCGTGCGGCACCCACTTATCTAGCGTTTTTGATATTCCAGTTGACAGCAAATGTTTTAGAACTACCACATGTGATACCGCTAATCCAGCAACAATATCTCCAATAGTTTTTAGCCATTCTGCTTTAATTAAGGCTCTGAAGGGATGTTTGTTAACTTCCAATAGCCGTCCGAAACGATCCTCATCTTCAAGCCACTCATAAAGATTTCGAAATTTCAAAGCAACATTATGCAGTAGGGCTATTATTGGTTCCAGCACCAAGTGCACTGTTGATACCATGGGCTGTTTCTGCTGCATTTCGACCAAATATAAATTGCCACAAGACAATTGTGCGAAAATTTTCTTCTCTCCAGGTTGCTTTAAATGTTCTGTAAAGATGTAAAAATGTGTTTCTGAGCCAAACTGTCACCACAGCTAGCTAGAGCGCAAAACAGGCTTCCAAATGATATACAAGCTCAAAGCAACTTATTAAAAACTATTAAAAGACACAGTTGTTAAAATAAAATTTCAAAAATACTAATAACTTTATTACCTACCTAATAGTTATCTGTCATTTGTACGAGTACGCTCGATTAGTTCCTCAGGATGATGAACTGAGTCACTGAGAGTGACAAGTACAGGAACCAGAGGTTATGTATCATGATTGAGCCTGAGCCAAGCGCTCAGGTCTAGTTTTCACACAGAGAAACGCACAGTGTCTGGGCCCCGGTTTAATCATGCACGTATTCGAAGGTGAACAATTGGAACCTTCGGCGATTGTGACAGTTTGTTTCAATTAGTTCATCTGGACTGGTGCTATTACCGCGACAAATGATCAAGCGTTTTGGTTTTCAGTTGGCTAACAACATGATAGCCTGTGAGTTAACGGTCCCGGTGGGATTTGGTGCATGCTAGGCGTCACTGCAACAAGGTTGCCTGCCCAGTTATCCCCAGTAGTTGGGGCAGGTTAGATTCTCGTGAATATCCGCACAGAATGGCCATAACACGAACACACAGATGTCCCCAAAATTGTCAGATGTCAGTGTTCATATATGCGTTTACATTGGTGTTTGCTTGCGGATGGGGCTGCTAAAATCTTATCTCATTTGATTTGCGGTACAGGCGCTCCGTTGCCACACTGAAAGTGATATAATCTAAATCCTACAACAAATAAGTTGAAACCCGCTGACAGCAGCCACTCGACCATACAAAAATCACAAAAACTGTATGGTATAAAGCTTATATATAATGTGTACGCTCATTATTAGTGACATGAGCTAACTGAACCAATTTACGTGGCATTTGCTGCAAAGTTGTGTGCGCCCTTTGGTTGAGCAACCCACCAACAAAATCTTATGCATGTTGAATACCGTTCTGAGTCGCGTCAACTGGGCTTATTTTCCCCTAGGTAGTCGAGCTGCTCAACAAACTGTACACGGAATTCGATGAAATCATCGATCGATACGATGTGTACAAAGTGGAAACGATTGGCGATGCGTGTAAGTTTTGGTAAGGCTGTATTATTTGTGAGCTATGGGTGATAAATAAAGGTTGCTTGGTTTTTCTAGTACATTTGTAATGGATGTATATACATATATTGTACTAAAGGTTCAATATCTTTACTAGAGTAAGTATAGACCCCGAAGTATGCCTTCGAGTACTGCAAAACAGCACCTGTTGTGCGCGATAGTCCTGTCTGAAAACCATGCATTTCAAATCGCAATTCCGTGAGTATTTCTATGCGTGTTATGTTCTGCCTAAGTGCCACCGCGATGTTCCAGGACGATGCATTCTAGTCCAGTTAATTAGGTTGGAAATTCTTGACACGACTCTTCAGACGACCATTTACCATATTTCACCATTTTTCCTCACTGAATTGCCTTTGAGCGTTTCTGCTCCGTTTTAGTAACAGTCGTCAAACTAAGAGTCGAATGAGACTAAAAGGACTTTGGACCAGTCAAGAATGGAACACATTACCTAAGACAGTCATTGCATGTGCACAACCCCTGCTACTTAAGTGACATGTTCGTTCAAATCATGTTTTAACAATCGGAAGACCGAACACTTCTCGGCAATTCGCGTTGTAAAGATGAAAACTGACCAACTTGCCTACCGCCTTCCAGCAAACCTATTAAATTCGGCAGAAAGGACACTAAAGCAAGCATGCGTCTTCGATATGGGTTATTGAAGGTGAACCCATTGAAAAACATGTACTATCCATCACTCCCGTTTAAGATAAACTATCCCCACTGCACTATCACTGACAGCGTCAGGTAGTGCTTGGTAATGTGTCCAACTAGTTACATGGTTCCTCTTAACTGCATGCGATAATTTGAGCGCTCCGTCGACCAATATGCTGGCTCGACCATTCGTTTTTTATTCTTGCACGCAAACAAGTATCCCACGTTCGTTACGTGCAAAGACAACTTTCGCGAAAACCAGCTAACCCTTTCCTGATGCCTCAGTACTGATTTTCTGTCTGCCCTGGATCTCACTGGCCTTGTCATTAGAAGTTCGATAGTGAATTGCTCAGTTCTCCGCGTTAGCATACAGGAATGTCGGCATCGTGACAATAAAATATAAATCAAGGCCAGGTGAGATGTTGAGGCTGTGATGTGCACCTTGCATAGTCCGCAGGAGCTGGAAATTAAATCCAGTGGTTTGTTTCAAAGTTGCACTATCTACTTGACTGCAACTTGGTAGCTAGGGTTTCCAACTACTGAGCCGCAATCTGAGATGTCGGCTAGTCCGCCTGCAACCGAGTATGGAATGTACCGAGATGTTTCCGTGCTAAGAAGGCGTTCATGAAGCCAGATAAGTCGAAGGATAGTATGATCCGCGGAATTTAGTCGCCAGCAAATAAACATTCAAAGCAGTTAGTAGCCTTTGACAACTTGAACAGTGTGGTTAGAGGTAAGCTGGTAGATGCAAGCATTTACTTTTGCCTCAAGACCATTAAGAACAACCGACATGCAGCTAGATTACTAACTGTGAGCGGGACCAAACCACCATGAGGTGCGAAATGAATGAATAACGGAAGTTCCACGACTATGCCCGTGGCAACCACCAGCTGATACTTAATTGACTATGTCTGTTACTCTTAATGGAATTGAGGAGACACTACGAAACGCATATAACTAGCAGCTTTCGTCTTCTTGCTGTAGTATTCAAATAAACATGCACCCTTTATTTTTAGCTCCTACTGTTGTGAGATGGAGACTTAAGTCAAGGGAACTTCGCGCACGGAATTGAATGCTGACGGTGTGCTATCCAGATAAATTCCATATGCGGAAAGACTAAGCTGTCCCCGAAACCAAACACACGCCAAACTAGGTAGACGTATGTTTGGTCTTCATCGAATTCGTCACAACTAAATGCACTGAGAAGACTTTGGTACTTGATGAAAAACACCGGAGGACCACATCGTTATATCGGGACTCACCGGCAGCATCTGCGCCGGTGACCCCACTACTGCGAATCTGTGTCCAAGTTCACATGGCCGGTAGAGGGGCAGCAGCAGGAGCTTGGATACAACGGGAGAGCGAGGTCTACCTGACCAAATTAACCTATCGCAGTATACTCAGCTTGGGCCGCGTACTAAGTAACATCGTGAGGGTCCGAGGCTGTCCCCCGTGGCCAAGTGGCTGACTGGCTGGTTGACTGGTGGTTCAAGCCGCTGGTGGTCATGAATTCGAAGCATGATGGATCCGGCGGATGCGCACTAGTACATAGTAAAGGATTTAAGCAAGCAGGCCTCCGGATAAGTCAGGTGAGACAACAATACGAAGCAGAGCTAATCGGAACAAAGCGTACGCAAGTGAATCACATGATACACCATTTAAAGAATGACGTGAAGAGTGATTGGTCCGTCAGTGCGATGCTAATCAATAAGAACGTGGTGTGGGTGGGTTAAACGAACCAATCTCATCGACCCACGTAACACGCACTACTGATGATACCCAACCGGTTGAAACTGCAGTCCACTGCTTTTTCGGGCATGTGGATGGCTATCCAATTTGGAAGCTGGTTCGACGAAATCTAAATTATAACAATGTGTAGGTTGAATGAGCCACAATCAAAGCAGTAAACGGACATAATAACGCGGAGAAAACACAGAACTATAGTAGAAACGAAGTGCTAGTTCAAGCTAGGTTGTATGCTTAAGTTTAAGTAAATAGGGCCGGGAAACGTAGACTAGCTTTGAAGCTAATAAAGGATTTGAAACATGTCACATCCGTGACAAATGAACGCCTTCAGTGCGTACACACTACAGGTGATACAATGAATTGTTAGTAGCTAACTTATGGTTTGGTGTCAAAAATCAACATTTAATGAATATGTCTGTTTCGATACTGACCTTAGTGTCGCATTCAATTAAACCTTCACAATAATTGGCCGACGATGCGCCACTGATCCCGTGTTTTTAGGATATCATCATCCTGTGTAGCGCGTCAAGTCTTCAGGGATCCCGAGTGCAATCTGCAACCTGCGGTGGGATGCACGGATATCAGCAGCAGCAGAGCGAGGCGAAACAAAATGGGAAGGTACTTCATAAACGCAAACAAGCGCCGTCGCGTAATATGACGTTTTGTCATGGAGGTCAAAATATAAGAGTCTAAGACGTTTACTTTATTACTGTGTAAACTCACAAGCTCGTACGAAATAGAAGATGGGTACTAGACGGCCTCAAGGAATGAACGTAGCACGGTTTCGAGATGTGAAATGGGCTTGCGGCAAGTCAAGCGGAAGGCTGATGTAATCAGTCCGTCACCTCGACACGGGTTCCTAAACCACCGGCGTGACACAACTACAGCTGGCCAGTGTAAACCGCTAACAGGTTTGGATCTGTCTAGACAAGTGGCCTGAGTCAGCCCAGAAACGTGCAACCAGTGCTGATGTCACGTAAGTTATAAAAGTAACCGCGTTCTCTTCCTAATGCACCTCGGTCTGGCAGGTCGCGGCCTCCTGTTTATTCCCCGGCTGGGTTTGCGGCACGGTAAGCAGAGGCAAGGGCAGTGCTACAACACAGGCACGTACGCCAACACATCAGTGCCCACGCAGTAGAGAGATTAGGTACGGATAAACTTCAGCATATGTAATCAGCTCATACTACTAACGTAAGTTGTCCGACAAATCTGTTGCTAACTGACAGTTGACATTCGAAAGACCTTGAATATAGTTTCTTCCACTGTGCGCTCTTCAGCACTACACAACTCTACACCATGGCAAAGAAGTCATAAATTATAACCCTTCTGATGAGAGAAATTTTTTTATCCTTAAGGGATCATAGAGTTATTGCTGGTATACTACTGAAAACTTCTGTAGAGTAAAGAGGTGTACGCCAATTCTAAAACTACGAAATACTTTAAGAATCCCCGATATGCCTTCACAGACACTAGACCATCTAAACTGCTTACAATGCTTTAAGTTAGTTGGCTTCTTGCTTTACAGAAACAACACGTAGAAAAGACCAGATTTATCTCTTGCCATAATAAGGCGACCGGTAACGGTAGATCGCCTGCACAAAACTCGAATTTGTTATTCAAGTGTATTATCTGCAAGTGTCCATAGAGGCACAATGACTTAAACCTCTGATTCATGCGGTCAGGTTGGATGTTCGAGTTCATCACTTGGCCAAGAAAATGTGCAATGCTGACGGGTTTCACAGTAAAAACAACCATTCAGGAATTCTTCTCATAGCAGCTGCAAGCGCCAAAAACATTTAGAGAACAAAGCAACGCGTATCTTGTCGTGGATTCAACGGGAAAAAAGTCACAACCGTGATAACGGTGGTATAGAACAAAATAAACCCAACAAAGCGGACAATACCTTAACGGTTTCCAAACGAAAAAGCGCCGACAGGGCACTCAATAAAGTGTGGTCTCTGGGTCAAATCCCCAAGCCCATCCGTGAAACAAACTACTGTCAACTGATCTCAACAAAGCTATAGTAAAACAAGTGGGCGTGCAGATTAGTCATGCAATCAGACCGACAGAAATAGGTGGACACCGACCAAAGAGGCCCTACTTAAAAGGGCCAATTGCCACACACAGACATCACGGAGCGCTCACACAATGATTCAGTCAAGTCTGACCAACAAAAACTGCCAAGTAGCCAAATCATCACACAGTAATGAGCGTATGAGTGTTTGGCCTTGGAAAAGCTCACTCAAAGTGAACCGTAACTGAACTGGAAGTAGCAGAACAGAGAAACGGGACATGATAGAAAGCCAGAGAGGTGGTGTAGTAAACACCGTTTATCCAGGGGGTTATGCAGCTGACGGGAATGAAGCGGACTTTGGACATAGAAGAAACCGGAGAGTAGTGATACGCCATAATATCCTGTATCGGGGGTGAGCAGAGTCCAGACAGGCGCTTAGCACACGAAAATCTCGGTTACAACAGTGACTGCTGGACGATATTATTTTAATGTCAGCTAACCAGATTACAACTGAGATCTTTCGCATGGGCATGACATCCACCCGCTTTCGTTTCTACCTCAGGTGGTGGCTATCAAAATGTAACTCAGTACATTGGGGATGTCTCGTAGTACTCAATATCCAGCCACACTTTTTCCTACCGATCAGAAAATGGCACTCGTCAGCATCGCACATCCCTCGGTGACACCATGGAGAGAACCCATGACTTCACGATGCCGGCAGCATATGTAGTTAGACACGGAATGACAGCAACTGACTGTGATTAGTAGGCAACTGCGATATTACGCGGCCCATCTATCACTGCGACACAAGTTACGAAGTTTTTGTTGGACGTTGTTGGTTTATAAGACGCAATGGCTCCAGCTGCCTATCCTCTCTCTTACAATGTTCTTAACTTACCTAACTGTGAAGGATAGGCTGCGTGACATCGCGTTTGGCTTTCAGTCACGACGGTCTGCTGCCGGTACGCATGGTCTAGAACAGGAGTGTCTAAGCATTTTGCAAGGAATAACATATTTCGTGAAGTAAAAATATGTCGGGCCATATTCAGTCTGACCTTAAGCTAATAACAAAAATTACACATACACGAAATAATCCAAGCGAATTTATTGTCGCATGATAAGGCCGAGGACTAATAGAAATGTTAACGCGGACCGCATTTGGCCCGCGTACCGGACTTTGGACATCCCTGGTCTAGGGGCATTGGCTTTAGGTGTCGGGAGGCAATGGTTCGGTTCCTGGTGAAGCCCGGTGGTGTTCACCACTGACGAATCCATTTAGGATGAAGCAGCCGTCTAGCGCTTCAGGGTGCATGAGTGCTATTTGGCTTGGAGGCAACTGCGTGGAGTTCGCTTTAATTTGCAGCAAATATGCCGCATTCAAGAGCGACGCCTACACTGTATAAGCAAAGTGTGTTGGAACCTGTGATAGCGGTGCGAGATGAGGTTGAGCCGACAAACTTGAAACAGATGGTGTTGAGCACATAATCAGCAAGTCGGATCTAGCTTTAATGTTCTTTGTCGGAAAGGATAACATGCCAAATACCCAGCAACTTTAGTGGTTCCGCTCCACTGACGCCCACACCAGAAAGGCAAGAACGTGTCAAGAAGGGGAACAATGTAGTTGGTTTATCGTCGGTTGCTTTGGACGCTTACAGTGTTTAGTATTATTCCACTTATGTTTTGCGACAGGGTGCATATAAGTTGTTACCAATGGCCCTAATGCACGTACGATATCTTTAGAGACCAGAAGCATCAAATATTTATCTTCAGATTAAAATATATAGGCAAGGGCCTTGATTACATTTGGACGCTAGTAACAAGCAGTTTTTAGGTCATAAACAAGGAAATAAAGGAGCTGCTTCCTCCCAACCATTAGTATCTAATCTTACTTTACTTTCTTTCACTACACAGACATGGTGGCTTCCGGTGTGCCTAGGAGAAATGGAGAACGTCACGCCGTGGCTATCACCGATATGTCTCTGGACTTGGTCAGTGCGTCGCATAGCTTTGTTATTCCACATATGCCGGAGGAGCCGCTGAAAATTCGTGTTGGTTTGAATTCAGGTGAGTGAAACTTAATGGTTATATTTTAATCACAGATGTCCCACAATTGCTGCTCCAGTATAACGAGTGCTCATACTTGAAGCATAGCAACGTGCTAAGAAAATGTGCTTGGGTATATATGTATGTGTTAACTTCCAACATTTGCCATTGATTGGTCTTATTTTCCGCTTCGGGATTCTAACATTACACGGGCTTGCTCAACTTTCTATTGCTTCGGAGCCACATCCCCCAAGCATCAGCATTGTCTCATTCGATGATGGTTTTGGTTTGATCTTCTGCTAATGAGACGTAAACCGTTTGTTTACTAACTAAGAACATAGATATTGCACCTCGCCAACAACGTTTCATACCAAAGTACGCCTCACCCTTGTGTAAGCATGTGCGCAATGTGCCTGCGTGATTTCCAATACTTAAAAGTCCGTTTGAACAGGTAATCACTCAACCGCTCAAATGGTGGGGTTTATTACTCTCAAAGCCATACTGGATTCAAACAATCATCCAGGTTGTGTCTCTAGGATTATCCAATAATGCCTGCACGTCTGGGATGCAAGCAAAACTTCAGTTGCCCTGCAATCTGATGTTTTCATACCACACGTGGTTATAGCGCATCATGGAAACCTAACTAGCGCATGTGATATATGGCCCCTGTGGCTTGACCGCATTTATTCCAACACAAAAGCGTTCGCGTTACCCCAAACCCTTCTCAGCCACCACTGAGGATAGACCAAAAGTCACTGTGAAGACCCACTGACCGAGAATGGAAACGAACATTCACCAAATACACTAGATTCAAACACAAATAATTTCACTCAGCTACAACTCTTCCTGAAGGTCGCGTGGCGCTGTCGTTTTCGAAGCCTTGTGAAGCGCTGCTTTTAGATCCATCCCTAACGCACGTCCATTTGCGGCCTCCAAGTGGTCACTTTATGTTTGGACAACGATTTGTTCCGTTGCTGATTAGTTAACAACCGGTTTGTTTATTACTCCCCCAGCATGCGCGCGTAGGTGCTAATATCGGTCGCCGTGTACAGTTAGTCACAGAAGTCTTGTCCCTTTTTACTCTGTTACTCGGGGACCAAGGGTCACGCCTTCGGGTGAGAGGAGAGCGCATTAAATTGCCAACTGTCCAATAGTGGATGTTGATATACCTCAAAATGTCTCTCACCCGGTCTTATGCGTGTGGACGACCGGAGTGATGGCCGTATGCCGTAGGCCACCTGGTTACAGGTGTACGAGTCACGTGATGACATTAATCATGCCCGAGGTTCCCTCACGCAAGCCAGTGCACCAGGCTTATATGTGAGTTGTTACGTATTTGATGACTTTTCACCACAGTTGGACTAAACCAACTTACACATAAACTAGGTTTTTTAAGCTGGCTAAATTTCATTCCGCTTTATTTGGTTTGTTCTGCCTCCCTGAATAATGTTCTGTTAACTGGCCACGTTGCTTACACTAATTGCGCTTATCTTCGGTAATTTTGTTGCGTTTTTTAGCATTTTAAGTAACTTGTGGACATTTCTTACTTATCACGGATTTGTTGCTAACCAACTTACTTCATATGGTAATTTAGCGAAGAGTTATGCCACCGTATCTGTATGCATTATTGGATTTATTTAATTTCAGCTTGTCGTTTAAAGTGAATGGCTGTTGTTTGATATCCTCGGTGTGGCTGCGCTGGATGTGCATGTTGACAAGGTGCTTACCTGTCTATTACCCACTACCTCGTCCATACGGGCTCCAGGAGACAGTTGGTCGTTGCTGGAGGGGACAGGGTGCACGGTCCTTGTGGTCATGTTAGGATCAAAGAATGGTTCCATGCAGTCAGTGTGGAGCGGACTACTGTCCAGCCACCGCCTGTGTGCGCTTCATTCCCCAAATACAGCGTGCTTGTTTTTGCCTGTGATGGGGTGTGTACCGGCTCCGTTGATGAAACGTGGCTCCCATCCACATGCCTCCCGGTCTTATTCCTTCGGGTTTACACTGGATATGGAGTGAGTGGTTGGAGCTGTGGGTGGTGCAGCGCAAGCCACCCATGGTCCCTCTGTAGGCTCAGGCGTCCTGTGGCTGTACACATTGACAGGCAAATCCGAAACCCGATGGCCCCAAACAGTCACCTTTTGACGCTGTTGCCTGCGGCGCTAATATACATACTTGACTATACTAGGTGGGATGCGCCGAAAGGAAGGCTTCGGATCCAGTCTTCGCTTTTAAGTTAACCAGCAGAGGTGATCCGGCTGAAAACCAATTATCTCTATCTCGCTGTTTTGCAATGCATTGTGGGATTTCGCGTTCTTCCCACTCATGGATATACTCTGGAGGACAGTCGTCTTTTCCATTGTTCATTGTACTTTCCGGAGGGCAACAGCCAGTTTTCATGTGTTTCACTGCGGTCCTACTGATCGAATTGACCATGGTTCGCTTCACTGCGAATCACGGTTCACAAAGGGATTTCGCGTCACCATCACACCACACACAAGAAGCAATTCAAAATGACGCTCCAGTCGGTCAGTTCGTTAGTCCGAATAGGTAGTTCATAACGGCGTGTGGGTATCCGTTTTCCTATGCTTCATGTTCGTTCCCTTGATAACGTCATGCCCAAATGCGCTCAAGGTGATTATTGACTGTGCACCCATCCACTTGACATTACTAGGGGTACCGATTTCTACACAGCTAATCCTTTTCAGTCTTCACGATACAACGATGCTCAACAATGACTCCATCATGAACACTACCCAGGTAACGAATTCCGTACGTTGTTATGTGTGCATATTGGAACAGGAGGCCTTTCTGAGGCCTTTCTGAGCTAAGTTCTCGAACTTCTTAGTATGCTGATACTGAAAATAGAATGCGTGAGTTGGGCTTCTGCTCCCGCCTGACAGGCCTCAAAGGTTTCACTGTAGACCCTGGCGTCCTGTGTCTGTAAACATTCACAACGGCTGCTAAATCAAAAAAGTTTGTCAAAAGCACGTAAAGCACGTAAAACTACTGTCTTATGACAGTTTGATTTCTCGAGCGCAGATCTGGAAGTTCGCGATCCGTGGTCAGTAAATAATCCTTCCATAAAGAACAGAACTGGCTGAAGTGGAGGTCAAAACCGATCAATACCCCCAAGGGTCAGGTCGAAACAGACCGGAGCGATAGTTTATGACGGGTATAAAAGCGAACGCTTGACGTGTACTGTAATTTGGTTAACGTGAAAATCAACAAATGAAAATCAGTATCAATAAGAATACTCGTGAGATACAAGATTTACCAAGGGGTTTGGAGTAGCACATGTGCGAGCATTCCTGCCTAGAGTTTAAGAGGTTTACGACACCATCCAGTGTCTGCTCTGCATCAGAGGTGTCCAAAGTCCGGCTCGGAGGCCAAGTGCGGTCTGCGTTAACAACTGGCCAGCGGCCTTATTATGAATTAATAAATTCAGGCTTGGATATTGTGCGTACACACGATATTAAATAGACTACAAAAATTAAAAACTTCATGAGTAAAGATTCCACGGCGTCAAATACTGGCAACAATCACTGTAGCGGAGTCTCGCATGATTGAAATTTCATCTGGATCTTGCTAACGGTTGGCATTGTAACTGTGATTTCAGCTCATTCAAATGACCTCTTACCGTGCTTGCGAGGATCGCTCGTGCACCGAACTATGTCCTCAAAATACCCGGATATTCTGGTTACCCTTATACCCCCTCCAATGTACCTATCTTACTATACTGAACGCTAAATACTGATAAAAAGCAGCCAGTAGAGTTGCCTCTGTGTAATTACGTCTAATATTTTTCACGCAAATGCACCTATTATTCTGGTAACTATTCTCGAGATCTCAAGTCGGCAAAGTGCGAGTCCAGGGTTCTTAAACTCCGGCACCGACTTTGCTTCGACAATGTCTGCAGGCAGGCTGTTCCAACTATTCACCGCCCTCCGCTCGAAGCAGAATTGGTGAGTGACCCGCTTCAAATCCAGTACGACAAGCTTGTAGTGGTGCCTCATGTGCTGCTTGGTGGGCGCAGATGAAGTAGCGGCGTCAACAATTCTCTGTACGCTCACACCCTTATCCTATGGTTCATCTGCATTCCCTCACTGACGATAGTTGACCACATTAATTTCGTTACGTCGGTAACAGACGCCCCATGCACTAGGTAGGATGTCACAACCTTCATGGTATTTGTGGGACAAGGAAATATTAGTCGGGTACAATGCGCGTGATTGAGCGCGGATACCAGAAGGTAGAAACCTCGGACACAACAAAATGAAACGACCCAGAGCAAACATCAGTATCGGACTCAGGCAAATTAATTGTGACAACCGAGATGTAGGCTATGATGGCCTTAGCGATAGTATTGTACAATGGGCCAGCAATAAAACTGTAGGTAAAAAGAGTAGTTATATTTTGGGGCGCTAAATGTAACAACATGCCTACCAGTGTCACTGAGTGATGCTCAGGTCATCAAACTGTCCAATCTGTTTAGTTGTATGTGCGCCTGTTGTTAACAGCACTCTGTGACTGGACCGTCCCTAACTGACCAGTGCCCTTGCAACAACTTTCACACGTTTATCGTGTCATAACTTGTCCTCCAGCTATCAGGATTGAAGAGCGATTTCCTTTCTGTTGTCCAATTATAATTTGTCGTTCACGGTGCTATACCGGGAATCTGAACAATTGAGGTTTGCCCAATTTTGCTTAGGAGTATGCTTTTTAATAGTACGGTAATTACTGAGATCCAACCTTTTTTCCATTTTTGGATCATTGGATTCGCGTCATACAACAATCAGGGATGCAGTATTGTTTATTTTTAACCAGCTAGGAAGAGGCATTCTAGTGATTTTACTAATGGAGTCATAATTAAACGAAAAAAGGTGGGTTCGTTAACTATATATATACTATATCTATATACCTCACTACTTAAAGCTAGTCCGTTCCGAGAACGGGGATGTTTGTTTTATTTGTTATCTCATTATCTAAATTGTCATCGTGGTATAATTTAGGTTAACCTA